GAACCTGTGCAGGGAGACCCCAATGGGTTTCAAGCCCATTGCCTTAACCTCTCGGCCACAGCTACCAGCCCGCAGAGCGTAGGCAGCACGGCCTCCACCCCACGCCTCTGGCACGCACCCCGTTGCCAGGTCCTCCAGCCCTGGCTGCACAGCCTAGGCCCCAGGCCCTGGGCCTCCAAAGCCCAGAGGCAAGGCAGCCCCGGGCGGGAGTCCCAGGCCAGCCAGCCCCTCCACTCGAGCCCAGCCCCAGCACACGTGGCGCCAAGCCCCTGTGGGGGCCCTGGGCAAAGCCTGGGCCAGGCCACCTGCCTTCGGCTCACGCCCTGCAAGGCCAGCTGTGCCCCAGCCGCCTTCCCACCCTGGCCAGGGAGGTGTCGTGGAAACACACGCAGCATACTTTTGGGTCAGGTCAGCAGAAGCTTTTATTCAAAAGAAACTACAGCTGTAGGGGGGACTCCAAAGTGACATGGATCTCCAAGCACTTGGAAGGGGTCCCCCCCCAAGAGCAAAATCAGGAGGCTTATATACTTTTTAACAGTTGCTTACAACTCACGTGATCATATAGTGAAATTAGCATGAAAAGCGGCTATAACATTACTTCATTATTTCTTTGCTGTAATCAGGATGGGAACTAATGGGGGAGGCGAGGTTAGTTCACAAACCTCCTTCTTGCACCTGCAAATCAGAGTTGTACATACTTTTTGCTATCTTCAAGGCCGCGGTGAGCGAAGCAGTTGCAGAGGAGTTACAAAGAACAAACACTTTCTCTTATCTGTTCTACTATACAGAGCCAGCAATTCTCCACAAAGCGGTTATGTCATCTTATAACTAAAATAATCAAAGTTTAAGGCATATATTTTTTCTGATTCCACAGTGAGGCAGACATGCTGGCCCCCCTCTTATGCTTCGCACGCACATCTCCGACACTGCAGGACTGCGGGTCTCCTCCATGGCAGAAGGCCATGGTGGCAGATGACAGAACAAGGGCAATTGTCTCAAGTTGCTGCAAGGGCAGTTGAGGTTGTATATTGGAAAAATCTTTCTCATTGGGAGGGTGGGGAAGCACTGGAACTGGTTATGCAGAGAGGGGATGTAATCTCTGTCCTTGGAGACTTTTAAGACCCTGCTGGAGAAAACCTTTCCTGGGATGATGGAGTTGGGGCTGGCCCTGCTTGCGGCAGGGGGCTGGACTAAATAAATGTGCCCTCCTGAGGTCCCTTTGAACCCTTTTTTTCTCTTATACTGTGCGTTCACTGAACAGAGCGTCGCAGGACCAGCTCTTTGCAGTGCCCGGGCCGCATGCATGGGTGTGGGAGGCGCGACCCCCTGGCACAGAGGGAGCTGCCCCTCCTGCCCAGACTCGGGCGGGCGCTGTGCCCCAGTGTGGTCGGGGGCTCTTGGACAGAGCCAAGCAGCAGCACAAGGAGCCTCACCCTCATCTCCGCCCTGCCTCCACCCAGCAGCGTAGGGAACGCCCCGGAACATCATCCAGCGTGACATCATCCGCGGTGACATCGCGCGCCGTGACATCACCCGAAGGCGGGCAGGGAGCGGCCGCCGGCTTTGCAGTAGGGATCGAACGTCTAGACACCTCCCCCCCACCCAGCTGCGATTGGCTGCGCGGCGCTGAGCGGCGTTGGTAATGTCCAATCGTGGCGCCCTGCGTCCGTGACGGAAGGGCGGTGCCGCAGCCATTGGCTGGCTGGCGCGGGGCGGGCTGTCCCCGAGCTGCGGCCCGGACGCGGCAGTGCGGGTGGGCGCGGGGCTGCGGTGGGGGATGGGATGGGATGGGACGGGAGGGGAGGGGTGGTTTGTGCCCTATCTGTGCGCAGCTGCCGGCGTTGCGGTCGTGCTAGACGCCTGCGTCATCAAGACAGTGTTTTGCAACATACATGTGTCATTGTTTGCAGCCTCTGAAGCGCTTGTCGCCTGTCCCCAATTCTGTGCCTGATGCTGTCACGTCTGCAGGAGCCTTCCTCCGTCTGCCACGTGAGTACCGCATTGTTCGTGCGGTTTCATGTGCGGAGAATTTGCAGCAGACCCGTCTGCGCAATGCCAGACAGCCGTCATGGGGAGACACGCGTGAGCTGCCCGTGCCAGGGGCAACGGGGCGTGAGACCGGCAGGGTCCCTCCGGCGTCGGGCGGGTGGACTCAGTGCGCGAGGAGAAAGCGAAGTGAATCCCAGGCCTGGTCCCCTGGCGCGGGGGTAACGAACGCGTCCCTGGAGACGATGCTCTCCGCACAGCCTCGGGGGGTGACTCGCGCCGAGGGAATCCGGCCGCTTTGCGGTTCCTGTCGGGCGGTCGTGTCTGTGTGCTACGCCGCGCTGCCTTTTTTGTTCTCGTCCCAGGTTGTTTTCTGCCCGGCAGCCAAGAGGATCCGCAGCCCCGCTTCCTGCCGCCTCGCTCCTCCTGCCCCTCGTTCCCGCTCTGCAGGACGCGGCGGGGATGGCTGCAGCAGCCCCGGTTCAGGTAGAAAACATCAACAGGGAGACCCCTCTCTTTCTCGGGGGGCAGTAAATTCCCTGAGCCCTATGGAGCCAGAGCCATGTGGGAAGCGCAGGGAGACTCCTGATGCTGCTGTAAGGCCCTGGGGTTTCCTGGGGAGGTGTCTGGGCAAGAAGGATAAATGGCTGGGATCACCTTGCCCAGGCACGAGGGTTCTCCCTGTGAGCCACTGCCAGGAAAACTGCTTCCCTAGGGGGAGACGTGAGCTGTCTGCCCTAGAGTTTGTTGGTGCAGTGATGATGGCAGCATCTCCTAATGTCTACATGGCTTGTGCCATAACATGAGCTGAAGGAGAGAAGCACAGTCCTCGCAGCAGAGCTGTGCATACCAGACTTTGCTAAAGCCAGGGGTTGAGAACTTGTTCGTTCCTATCCAGCATCTTCTTGGTGCAGATTGAAGCTCAGAGCAGGTTAGGCCCTGGGGTTCCCTGGAGAGATGTCTGGTAAAGTAGGATACGTTTTTGGGTTGCTATTGCTGGTTTGGTTTTGATAACAGTGCCCCCTACATACTCTGTGCTGTAGCCACATCAAGGGCTTTACTGTACCATCTATGCAGAAGGGTGGGAAGATTTATAGCCATGCTAACAACTCCTTGTAGTGCCACATAAGAATCGGGGTTGTGGGGGTTGGAAAGGCTAGAGTAACGGGCTGAGTGTGTATTGCTTGTGACTTCAGCTCCGGGAGGCCTTCGAGGACGTGGCTGTGTACGAAAGAGTGGGAGCTGCTGGAAGATGGAGACAAGGTGCTTTACCGGGACCAGATGCTGAGGAATTACCAAACCCTTGATTCCCTGGGTAAGGTTCTCTTTCTTGCTTACCCCAGAGCTATGTGAGCTTAGAAATGTTCCTTTCCTTTTCTGGTTCTGTTCTTCTACAATCTTCTCATGAAAGTTGGGATGATGGTTTAAATTTGCTGTCTCTGCACTACTCTGTCATTTATCAGGCCTGTGCTGTGCTTCATGAATTTTCATATCCTCCTTAATTTGAGCCAGCCTCCTCCTCTGGGTCTAAATCCTGGTGCTCCCATATTCAGCAGTTATTTTGCAAGATGATCTCTTTCTCTCTTCCCAGCATGTCCACACCATTTTCACTCCAGTGCTCATAGTTATACACCAAGGAATTGTTCTTGGGGAATTGTTCTTACTCCCTTCCTCATTCTCTTTCGCATTATTACTTCCTCATTCTCTTTCCTGTTGTATCTGTTCAAACATTTAACTATCCTTGAATGCGCATTTCAGTGATGTCTGATCCACTTCTCTTTGGTTACAAACCCGCTTAAATCCATGGAAGTTTTATCAGCATCTGGTTTTTTTTTTTCCCTGTCTTCAGCTCAGCCTCTAGGGATATTTTTATGCATGATAAAACCCAAGTACTTTTAACAAGGAATTTCTGTAAGTTTCTGCACATGTGCCTTTTTATATCTCCAGCTCCAAAGACCACTAACTTTGTCTTCACTGTATTTACTTAAGACCTATGCCATCCAGATGACTGTACCAGTCTATAAAATGTTCTTGCCTTTCTAAAATTTTAGAATATTTGCAGGCAATCTCCCAAAATAAGATCCACAGTGCAGTTTTTCTCCAAAGACTTCCATTACTGTGATAAAAAGAAGTGCTCTGAATACAGAGCCCTAGTGAAAACCAGTTTCGCATCCAAAGGTTCCTTATTACAGGTGCTTTTCTGGTCAGTTTGGTATGTAAAATGTACATACTTTTTACTAGTCAGATGTACTTTACTGGTGCTTTCTACTTTGTCTAGCTTCACTAAAGGTCTTCCTTTGGGATCTCTTCAAATGCTTTTTCTAGACGAGTGATTCTCAGCCAGGGTGCCATGGCACCCTGCAATGCTTTGAGATCCTTTCAGGGATGCCTTGGGTTGTGTAAGCATTTGGGGCCCCAGGGGCAGCTGTGACACCCCTTGGAAGCCATGCAAACTTCCTCAGCTCTAACTTTAGGGGCCCTCACTTCTTTTACTCACTTTAATGTCAAGGTTTTTTAGGAGGGAGACTGCCAGAGGGTCTAAGAGCAAACCTATCATTTTTTGAAGCATTGGGCTTCAGCCTCTCAGCCTCCGCCTTTTTGCTCTAGCTGAGCCCTCTGGCTTTAGTTCACAGACCCTGACCAAGCTTTGGGGTATTCCATTTCTTGCCTTGCTTTCTTTGCTTTCCGTTTCTATGTCAGGCTGCAGCACCTCCCCTGTGGGCACTATGGGACCACCGTAACCACTCCTATACCCCCAAACCTCTGGAATCAAAACATCAAACGCAAGCCCTACCCACCCTAGATCAGGGCTTCTGAGCCTTCCTGGACTCAAACTATAGTCAAAAGACAAATAAAAGCCCTTCTGGCTCTAACTAAACCACTAGCCCCAATCCTGGGTCTAAATCCTTTGCTAGTCCTCAGCTCTGGCTGATGGAGGGCCTAGCATACTCGCAAGGCTTCTATCTCACAGGCACCTTTGCAGACCTCCCTCTGTTTTTTTTTCCCCCAGGGCCAGACTGACCAGCAAGTCTCTAGAGCAGGGGTGGGCAAAATGCGGCCCAGGGGCTGGATGCGGCCCAACAGGCCATTCTGTCTGGCCCGCAGGGCTCCTAAAAATTTAGAAAATTAATATTTATTTGCTCTGGGCTGCCTGTCATGTGGCCCTTGTGCCCAAAATAATTGCCTGCCCCTGCTCTAGAGCTACTTTATATTCCCCAGACCCCACCCCTCTTCTGGTCAGCTGACTTCCTCTGGCTGTCTGAAGGTTTCTCCTAATTAATCCTATTCACTGATCACTGGCAACCCAACTGCAGCTGTGACCTTCCTGCCTGCCCTGCTGTGCCTGGGCTCTTGCTCTCCTAAAGTGACAGAGCCCCTCAGGCACTCTGCTACAGGATGTCACAGGACATTTAAGCAGACGCGATTCACATGATAATCCCAGGTATTTCAAATAGGAATCCTTCCTGTTAAAAATACTGTGACCAATTGTGGTCTTTCTGAGCTCTTTGCAACAGAAGAATTGCTCTATTCATTTTCTGTAATCAAAACTGAGTGAAAATTTAAGAGCTGAGATTTTCAGATAGGTACCTTGAGCCTAAAAAAGAATTACAACGGCTGTTCTAAATCTACAAAGATTATGTAGAGTGTTTATTCTCTGTACTTTTCTTAAATGTGTCTGAGGATGTCCTTCATTCTTTCCTTTTCTAAAACCAGACTGATTATTGATGATTCTTTGTGGTTCTCTTATGTCTGTGTTAGGATCGTGGTAAAGTAGGGCTGGAAGAAGCCCCACGAGGTCACGTAGGGTGATCAAGGCAGGATCGTCCTTGATTATACCATCCTAGCCAAGTGTCTATCCAACCTGCTCTTGAAAATGCTCAGAGATGGAGATTCCACAACTTCTCTAAGTAGCTTGTTTCAATGCTTGAGCATCCACATAAGTCAGAAATTTCCTATTAATTGCCAACCTAAATTTTGTCTGCTTCATCTTGACAACATTAGGAGCAATGGTCTCCCCTCCAGCCACAGAGAGAAACCCAACTCCATCCTCTCTATAATTGCCCCTCAGACATTTTAAAACTGTTATCAATTCCGCCCCCCCCCGCCCTTTTTCTCTTTTCCAGGCTAAATAACGCTAGTTCTTCCATCTTTACAAGGATAAGTGATGCTTCCCAGGCCTCTAATCATTTTTGTTGCTCTGCACCACACTCTTT